TCCCATCGGGTTCCAACTTCGTCCTCAACATCCCGCTGGGCAGCCCCAGAGCCCATTGGGACAGCCAGCCTTCCGCGCACGCGCCAGCACCAGCGCTGCAGCTGGTGACGTTTGGCTTGGGTATCGTATCTCACGTGTCCCCGAACAGTGCCAGACCTCTGACCCCAACGTTGTGGCTGGAGACGGAGGGTTCCACTTCACCTCCCATGTCTCCTTGAGCGTTGCCTCCCACTTCGCGCTGAGCAGCATCGCCAGTGCCTGCTGCTGCGGCTTGCCCTTCTCGCGCACGCAGATCCTGGCGCTGTGGTAATGGTGCCCCGTTACTGTATATAGCTCATAAGATTTCCTCACGTTCGAGTCAGAGCGTTGTGATTCATGAAATCGGGCTCCGACTTCACCTCCCGCGGGGCCGCTGGTCAACAACACTGTCCACTGCCATCGGTCGTTATCCTGCGCGCGGTGACCGCCGCGTTATATCTAATGTAATGGGGTCCTAGTGTCGATTGCCGCATCCCACAGACAATTGCCAGAGCTCGCTGCCTCTGATGGCTGTTTCGCCTCCCACTTCTCGCTGAGCAGCGCCAAAGCCAACTACCACTATGCGGTTTCCCCGCTCGCCGCGAATGCCGCATGACGTGCAGCAGCATCGCAGCCCGCGGCCCCTGCTGGTTCCTCTCGCCCACCCTGGCCCTGCAGCGCCCTAGGAGATGGCATCGAGCACCACGTTCGCCTCCCACACCTCGCCGAGCAGCGCCAGAGGTGTTACATGGCGCTGTTTATGGTGCAGCCCATGGCGAAGCCTGCGTTAACCTGTGTTGGAATGGCTGGCGCAAGCCATGGCGCAAACTGAATCGCAACTCGCAGCACATATCATCGTCGTCCCTTCCTCTTGCCCCTCTAGTCCCTCCCTTTGTCCGATCCCTTCGTCCTCTCTTTTTGTATGTTCCCTTTCGTTTTCCTGTCTAGGCTTCTTTTCCGCTCGAGACTTCCTTTTTTAAACCCAGAGCGGGCGTTCTTGTTCGCCGCCGAAACTGGCCGCTCCAACAAAACCAAAGCTCCCGCTCGAGATTTCTTCCTTTCCTAATTTGAACTGGCGCGCTACTCTTTCTCTCATCGGAGCCGCCCCCAGCAAAAGCAACGCTCCCGCTCGAGGCTTTCCTTTCTAAAAAAAAACTCAGGGCCGATGCACTTGCTCGTCGCCGAAAACCGCCGCCCAAATAAAACGAATACTCCCGCCCGATACCCTCTCCCGTTTCACCATGGACAGGCGCCCTTTTCTGTTTTCAACTGGCGCCGCCTTCAGCAAGTTCAACGCTCCCGCTCGAGGCGCCCTCGTTTTTTCCTGAGGGCGGTGCTGTTTTTCGCCGCCGACAGCCCCCGCCCCGACAAAACAGCTGTTCCCGCTCAAGGTTTGTCCCCTTTTTACTCAAGGCGGTGTTTCTCCTCGCCGCCGACAGCCGCCGTCCCAACACAACCAGCGCTCCCGCTCAAAACTTCGTTTTGTTTTACGCTTGACTGGCGCTCCACTCTCTTCTGCAGTCGCGCCGCTCCCGGCAACAACCACACCCCTACTCGAGACCCCATCCCTGTCTATTCAGGGCCAGGTCCTTGCCTCGCCGCCGGCAGCCCCTATCCCCACCAAACCAATCCTGTCGCTCGATAGTTCCTTGTGATTTACCCTTGGCCGGGGCTCCATTCACGGCTTCGCATCGGCGCAGCAGAGCGCGGGCATGTGTTTTCGAGGCGGGATCTGTTGCAATTTCTCGGGAGAGGTGTTTACAAGTCCTTATTGGACGGGAAATCTGGGAATGGGAATAACGGACCCCGCGATAGAACAATCATCCCCCATGAAAGGGATGGTTATCATGATGGTCGCATGCTGCGTGTGGAAGCAACGCGCATGAGATCACCATGATTGTTGTTGTTGTTGTTGTTGTTGTTGTTGTTGTTGTTGTTGTTGCGGTTGTTGCCTTTCGTGTTGAAACGTCCAGGTGTAAGGAATTAGTTTGTCAACGTGCTCCTCCCTGTGCTTTCACCTTGTTTGACAATGGCAGTGAGGCGCCACCACACTGTACCCTTGGCCCCCAGGTTATAACAACAACGGCTCCCGCCTGATACTTCCTCTCATTTGTTTCTCCGAATCGCGCTCTGGCGCGGGAATTCCTCACACTTTGTAAAGGCATCACGCTCTGTCGTGGGACTTCCTCGCAATTTGCTCAAACGCCGGGTGTTCGACACTCAGGAATCACGCTCTTGCTGTGGACTTCCTCACGAGTTATTTGGGAATCGCGCTATCGCTCTAGACTTCGCGATTCATGCAGGCACACGTTTCAGCAACGTCTTCTCGACTTGGCCGCCTGGGCCCGACCTCCCGACCCGCCCGTTGGGGTCTGCCCGCCCGATCTGCCCGTCTGCTTTTGCCACGTGCTTTCTGCTCCTAGCACCCCCCCCGCTACTCTCTCGTGCTCCACCCTCTTCCCTCCCCTTTGTCCCTTCCTTCTGCCCGTCCTCTTTTCCCTTGCCTCAGGGGCTGCACGAAATACACGTTGCAGGTAAGACAGATATTCCCTTAAAGGGGGTACGATCGAATTTTGAGGGGGCGGGTATCGAGGATCTGGGGTTTGCCTGTTGAGTGGCACGAGGGCAGGTAAGAGCGAACTTTCTTAAAGTTGTTGTTGTTCTTTTTTATTGCTGTTGCTGGTTGTTATTGTTATTGTTGTTGTTGATGTTGTTGTCGGTGTTGTTGTTGGTGTTGTTGGTGTTGAAGATTCATGTTCAAAAGGAAGCTTATTGTTGATCCCCCCTCTCCGGGGGGCACTTGGTCTTCTGTCAATTAACGTGCTCCTTCCTGGGCTCGACCCATGTTTCCTACAAGGGGACAGTGTGGGGTCACTACGTTTTGTCCTTGGCCCCCGAGTTACAACAACAGCGGCTCCCGCCCGATACTTCGGAAGTCCACTACAATTTGAGCAGGGATTGCGCTCTCGCGTGGGATTTCCTCGCGTGTTTGTTCAACTGCCGCGCCCTCGACGCTCATGGATTGCGCTCTCGCTGTGGATTTCTCCTGATTCATTGAGAATCGCGCTGTCGCTCGAGACCTCCTCGCGATTCATGCAGGATGCACGCTTCAGCAACCCGCCTGCTCGACCCGGCCGCCTGGGACAGCCTTCCCGACCCGCCTGGTGGGGTCTACCCGCCAGATCTGCCCGTCTGCTTTTGCCACGTGCTTTCTGTTTCTAGCTCCCCTTTTGTTACTCGTTCTCTCATGCTCCACCCTCCTCCGTCCCCTTTTGTCCCTTCCTTCCACCCGTCCTCCTGTCCCCGCTGTGGGGGCTGCACGAAATTCACGTCGCAGGTAAGAACGCCTTAAGGGGGTACGATCGAAGACGAAGAGGGCGGGTATCGAGGGTTCGGGATATACGTGTTGAACGGCACAAGAGTAGGTAAGAGCGAACAGTTTGAAATGTATAATTGCTGTTGCTGTTGGTCCTGTTGCTGTCGTGGTTGTGGTTGTTGGTTAATGTAGTTGTTGTTTGTTGTTGTTGACGATGTTGTTGTTGAGGTTGTTGGGTTCGTTGTTGTTGTGTGTTTTTGTGGTGGTGAAGGTGTTGTTGTCGTTGTCGTCGTTGTCCTTGTTGTTGCTGCTGATATTGTTGCTGCTGTTGCTGTTACTGTGGTAGTAGTAGTTGCAGTCGTAGTAGTAGTAGTAGTAGTAGTAGTAGTAGTAGTAGTAGTAGTAGTAGCAGTAGTAGTAGTAGTAGTAGTAGTAATCGTAGTAGTACTACTTACTACTATTAGTACTCGTGGTGATTGTTGTTGTTGCTGTCGTTGTCGTGGTCGTTTGACGTTGAACTGTCACTACTGAAGAATAATTATTGTTGATCCCCCCTCCGGTGCACATTGTATTGTGCCCCTCCCGGCGCTCGCACCCTTTACTTTTATCAGGGAAAGTCTTCCTCCTCAAACTGGGCCCCTGGCCTTTGGTTTACAACAACAACGGCTCCCGCTTGATACTTCCTCGAAGTTTACTCTGGTCCCCCGCTCCCGCTTTGGACTTCCTCGCAATTTACTCCAGAATCGCGCTGCCGCCTGAGACTTCCTCGCAATTTACTCAGGCACCGCGCTCTTGCCATTCAGGAATCGCGCGTTCGCTGGGGACTTCCTCAAATTGACTTAGGAATCTCTCTCTCTCTCTCTCTCTCTCTCGCTGGCTAATAACGCAGAACTCATGAAGAAAATGATCGAAGACGAAGAGGGCGGGTATCCAGGGTTCGGGACATTCACGCTGAATGACACTCGAGCAGATAAGAGCGCAGTCTTAAACTGATCGTTGTTGTTGTTGTCGTTGTTGTTGTTGGTGGTGGCGTTGGTGCTGTTGTTGTTGGTGTTTGTGTGTGTGTGTGTTTGTATGCGGGGTCTTTATTTTTCCTGCCCGGCTCTTTGTCGCCGCTTCCTCCCCGTGGCCATTGTTGTGGCCACTGTGAGGGGGGGCGAAGGGAGCGTTCGGAAGCAGAGCGCGGTCGGCGGGAGAGCCAGCGGCTCTCGGAGGCCAGCACGCCGGGAGGCCGCCAGGGAGAATGCAGCCTTGCTCGGAGGGTGCCACCGCGGGGCGCGAGGTGCGTTTTGGGTTGCCTGGGCCGTCGTCGTCGGCGTCCCCCTCGGCGGTCGAGCGAGGGGGGGCCGATTTTGTGACCGATCTTCGGGGCTCGATGTTTCCGAGCGTTTTCGTCGGTTCTCGGAGGCTCTCCATCCTCGGGACGCGTTCCAGCGGCTGCGCCTCGCCGAGGGCGTTCCGGGGGCCAGCGAAGAAGAACAAACGCGCCATAGGCATAAATTTTGGCGCTCCGCGCCTCCAGCGCCGCCCCTGGCGCGCTCCGCGCGCCAGGGAGGGGGGCCCAGCGCAGCTTCAAGAAATCCGCGCGGAGCGCTGAAAGTTTATGGTCATGCCGTTTGTTCTTCTTCTGCGCCAGTTCTCCCCGCATTCCGCCGGTCCGCCCGAGGAGCTGGCCATGCCCATGGGCGGCGCGTTCTGCGGGCAGGCCCCCCTGGGGGCGCCTGCCGTGCCAGCCCTGCTGCCCATGCGCTCCAGCTGCTGTCGCTCTGCAGCGGGTCTTTCGCTGGCGCAGCTGGCCCGATGAACCCGTCATCGGTCCCTCGCGATGGCTTGGGTCACGGGAGGGAAAACCACCCAGACCCCGGTAATTGGCGTTTACTACAGGGCCCAGGGCGTTTATTAAACATCCCTGCCATGCTCGATTCCTTCCCCTGGGTGCGTTTACAAAACGGCTTCGCTTGTCGGGGTGGTTATTCTGAGGGCACTTTCTTTCTGACCTCTGCTGAACGTGCAGTGACTGAAAACATTACGTCCTCGTGCTGTCCAGTGTGCGCCCGCTGCTCCCTCGAAGCTCAGCAGCGGCGTGATCACCATTACTTGCTGCTGGTGCGGCCCAGCATGTGTACCACTATGCACCTGCAGTCCTGCCTTTTTTCCCCGTCCTTCCAGCTCTGAATGCGTATTCGTTCATACCTCACAGCAGGCCCGCACGATTCAGATCTCTTCATACGGTTCTCCTGTGCTTGGCCTAGCATCGAAATTATTGATGCATCGTGTCTCCCCACCAGTCCATCCAAACACAGCGAGGATCTGCAGCGTCGTGGTAGAGTGGTTGTCTGTCGTTGCCTGCGGTTCCCGTGTTGCGTCGTGCGTGCCCGGAGTTGCTTCGGTATAGTGGTTGCTTGTCGTTGCTCGCCGTGCGTGCGTTTTGTTTTGGGCGCGCGAACACTGACGACGCGCTCTGGTCATCTAGCAATCAGGGAGCGATGACAGGCAACCGCTCAACCAAAGCATCCGTGAGAACCGCGCGACGACGACGACGACGACGACGACGGGGACGAGGACGACGACGAGGACGAGGTTGTCGACGACGGGGATCTGGCACAGCCGTATGGATATGGCGTAGCTGCATGGAGTCTTTCAACATGTGTGGGTGTGACAGCGCTCTCTGGACCCCGACGCGAGGTCCGAGAGCTCGACGGAAAGCCCCACGGCGTCGGCAAGCAGCGCTGGCCAGACGGAGCAGAGTGCTCATTGTGAGAGGGGGAGGTGACGATAGCTGATGGCGGAGATGGCGCAAGGCTCCCAGACATATTCGACGAAGGACCAAGTGCTTGAACATAAACTTTCGGAGCTCCGCTCGGATTTCTTGGCTCGTCGCCCTGGCGTCCCTGGCGGCGCCTCTGGCGCTGCCCCCGGCGCACCCCGCGCGCTGGGGAGGGGTTCCAGCGTAGATCCAATAATTCCGCGCGGACCTCCAGCAAGTCATGTTTACAGTCAACCCGCATAGTAAGGATGGGCCACCTTCCCGAAGGGTTCCTTGTATCCCTCCGTTCTCGGTCCATCCTTGGCCACTTTCGCTGGCCGCGTCCCGCTCGAAATGCTTCGAAATGCCTTTCAAGGGCTTGCGTCCTTATCGCGCATCCTTGTGATACGGGTTGACAGTAGGGGATGGCTCAACGTTCCCAGACATGCGGCGCCTCAGACACGTCGAGGGGGCGGGTTGGCCACCGTTGTTGCCTCCAAAGGCCAGTTTTCTCCGCCTCGAGGCCGTCTCCAACAAACACAACGATGCGGGGTGTGACACGACTGCGGGAAGTGACCGAGAGGTCTGGAGGCCGACAACTCTAACACATCGACGCGTTGGGTGGCAGGGCTGATGGTATTTGCGATGATGGTGAAGGTCAGCTCATAATTCGAGCAGGGCATCGTCTTCAGAATGGACTTGCCCCTGAATTGATCGTCTCGCCGAGTCATACGTAGAAAATCGTAGATCTACGAACAGTCTACGCGCGTCCCATGGATCCGAAGGACAAATTAATTCTGGGGTAAATAAATTCTGTAGTCGACCCCCTACTTGACTAATCTAACCAGAAGCCAGTCCACGTGCTCCTGATTCTGCTTCTTTGCCAGAGTGCGCCTGGTGCGGAGAGCGTGTGGACGGTCAGTGCAGTTTGGTCAGCTTCAGCACTCGGAATTGGCATGTCCCGACACTGTGTGAGCGTGTTTTTCCCAACCATCTTGTGGTGGTGGGCCCTCGTTTGGAAGAGACAGCGCCCCGCGTTCTCCTCTCCTCCTCGCCCTCCCCTCTCCTCCCCCATGCTTGCCTCTGCCCTCCGCATGCTGGCCATGTCGGCACACCCCTCACATTCTCTGTGGCCCCATAGGGAGCGCCACCGAAGGTCTCCGTGGCGCAGCCCGCATGCGCCCGCGACACGGATTCCGGCACACCCCTCACACTCTTCGTGGCCCCATAAGGAGTTCCACCGAAGGTTCCCACGGCGCAGCCCGCATGCGCCCGCGCCACCCATGTCCGCACACCCCTCAAACGTTTCGTGGCACCAGAGGTCCCCATGGCGCAGACTGCATGCGCCTGCGCCACCCATTTCGGCACACCCCTTACACGCTTCGTGGCCCCATAGAGAGCTCCACCGAAGGTTCCCGTGGCGCAGCCCGCATGCGCCCGCGACACGGATTTCGGCACACCCCGCACACGTTTCGTGGACCCATTGGGTGCTCCACCGAAGGCCCCCCTGGCGCAGCCCGCATGCGTCCGCGCCACCCATTTCGGCACGCCCCTCACATCCTTCGTGGCCCCACAGGGAGCTCCACCGAAGGCCCCCGTGGCGCAGCCCGCACGCGTCCGCGCCACCCATGTCGGCATACCCCGCACACCTTTCGTGGACCTGCGAGGCAGAGCCCCGCGGCCGCTCGTCCGGCGTGGAGCGAGCTACGCTCTCGGAGCGCCGCGACCGTTCGTACGTGGTGTTGGAAGCCTAGGCCGAAGTCGTCGCGGCGCGAACCACCCGCTGTAGTTGCAGGCTTCCTGCTGCTCCTATGTTCGGATGAGGAGCAGGTGCCCGTGCCTCTACCCTTTGCCCTTTTTTCCCCTTCTGGGCCTCCTGGGAGGCCCTCGTCGCCACCGCTGCATTTGCCTCGAAATCCGCGTTGGAACGCACCCCAGGAAAGGTCCGGGGAATAGCAGTGTCGGCACCTTGTGGTTTCCCCACCTCCATGCCAGCTGATCCCGTCTCCTTCTCGGCACGCCGCCTCCGCCCAGCCCCGCGCAGGGACCCGTCGGCTGGGGCGCGCCCGAAATCATCGGCCCCCTGGAGGCCGTTGTCAAAGAGAAAGCCTTTGGCGCGGTCTTTGCCAATCCTTCTCGAGCCTCTGCGAGCTCGGCTGCCAAGTGATGCTTCGTCCACGCAGTCACGTCCGCTGACCCGCAGCGGCCAGCCATGCGCAGAGGTTGGTAGGGGGAGGGGGCACGGCTTCTTAGAAGCACCCTTGCGTCTCAGAAGTGGCTGGCCTTGACTGTAGATGCAGGACCAGCGCTTTCTACAAAACAGCCTTCTAAGACGCCTTCCCGCCTCCCCCAGACCCCCTTGTGCGCGCCGCCAAATCTGGGCGACTGGCAGCTTCACATCTTCGCGTCCTCTTCCGCTCCGCGCATTTCGCCGCCCTCCCTGATTCGCTGTCTTGGGCTTCCCCTCCTGATGCTCGGGGCCTGGCTTCCCCTCCTGTTGCTCGGGGACCGCAGTCCCCTCGTATCTTCGGCGGAGCTGTTCGATCGGCGTATGTTCCCCTTCGTGAAGCCCCCTCGTCTCTTCGGCGGAGCCGTTCGATCGGCGCATGCTCCTCTTCCTTCTTCTCCCTCCCCGAGGTGCCCCCTCCGGGCCCCAGGGAGGCCCATGTAGAACGAAAGAGGACGAAACGCCTCCAGGAGGCTGCCCCTGAAAGGAGCAGTTTCCGCATCACAGCTCGGGTCTCTTGGGTGGCTGCTCGGGACGATCTGGTGCCTCCCGGGGACCGCCCTCGGCGAGGCGCGGCTGCTGAAAGGCGTCCCGAGGCTGGAAAACCGCCGAGAGCCAGCGATGACGTTGCCCCACCTCCTCCTCCTCCTCCTCCTTCTCCTCTTCCTCCTCCTCCTCCTCCGCCTCCTCCTCCTCCGCACCTCCCTCCTCCTCCTCCTCCTCTTCCTCCTCCTCCTCCTCCTTCTCCTCCTCCTCCTCCTCCTCTTTCTCCTCCTCCCCCCACGACGTTGCCCATGAGCCTGTCCTTGACTTCTGCCAGACAGGGGTCAACCTCAACGGTGTTTGGGCGATTCCGTGGGGCGTTCTCGTTGCGCATTCGCCCTGCAGCACTGGCGGATTGGAGAAAAAATGAGCGCGCGCAACAACCGTACATCCATCCAGCATAATGCTTTGGCACGGCAACCGCGTACAGTAAGACCGCCGCAGGAAAACATGCCCAGCACTGCGTCTCAGAATCGCGCGGGGAGGGAGGGGGAGCAGAGAAGACAAACCGAGGGAGACCAAAAACAAAACGACAACCAAATAGTAGTCTTCTCATCCCTTTTCGTTGCCGATCGGCGCCAGCCCTCGCACCACCCCTCCCCTCCCCCTCCCCCTCCCCCTGTAGTAGATCTTAGCTGTTTTTGGCGCCTGTTTCGAGCAGGGGGGGTCTCCCCCATGGGACGCACTGCTGCAAACAGTGGCATTCAGCAGAGGGCTGGAGCCAGACCCCCCCACTTTCCGCCCAATGTCGAAACGCCGAGTAAGAAAACGTGCACCAACAAATCATCGAGTCCGAGGAACATGTTGGAAAATACGAGAAGTGGGGGGGAGGACGAAGATCTAGAAGATATGGAAAATAAAGGGGGAATCCTGGGAGCTGTGTCCAGTTATTTGAGTGTCCCTGGGCCCCTTCAGGGGAGGGGGAGCAGAGAAGACACAACGAGGGAGAACGAAGACAAAACGAGGGAGGGGGAGCAGAGAAAGCGAAACGAGGGAGGGGGAGCAGAGAAGACAAAACGAGGGAGAACGAACACACAACGACCACTACCAGCGTCTTGGTCGAGCCGTGCTGCGCCCGTGCTGCCGGCCGAGGGCGCCCGCGCCCCCGCAGAGAAAGAGAGGTACAGCGGCGCGTGGCGGGGCGGCGTCGCCCACGGCAGCGGGGCGCTGGCGCGCGGCCGGCCCCTGCCGGGTCGGTGGGGCCGTGCGGGGGGTGGTGCGGATCTGTGCGCGAGCTCGCGGAGGAGGCTGCGGGGGAGGTCAGGAGGAGGAGGAGGGGGAGGAGGAGGAGGAGGAGGAGGAGGAGGAGGAGGAGGAGGAGGAGGGGGAGGGGGAAGAGGGGGAGGAGGACGAGGATGAGGATGAGGAGGAGGATGAGGAGGATTCGCTGAGGATTCGCTCGCAACGGATAGTTGAATCGGCCGAAGGCGAGGCGACTACGCTCGAAAACGGAGGTGCCCTTCACCCCAGGCCTGTCCTGGGCAATCTGAGGCCTCCGAAACTCTGATTGGTGGTGGGGTGCTTGCCCTGCCACAGACGATTCAGACGCCCGGCTAAGACCCGAGGATTCCCCCCAGGACAGCTGGTCATCAGACCCCTCCATCGGCTTGTGGCGTACCTTGCGCACTTCCGACAGAATACTACTGCTTGCAGGCGCACCGTCTGGTGGCCTTCGGCTTGGACCCTCTGGGTCAGCTCTCAGAGCCCCGCGGGGGGTCAGGGCGGGAGGTCCACGGGGCCCTGTGGGGGCGGTGGAGTGCCCGCAGGGCTCTCCACTCCCTCACTGGGCGTCGGGTCGGGGGCGGGGCTGCCCTGGGCCCCCGAAGGCCCAGGGCCCTCGGAGGTGTCCTCGAGCCCGTGGCCGAGAACCCCGACGTGCGCGGCGAATTCCAGGATGTCTGAAACCAACTGGAACCTCTGGATGTACGCGGCCCTGTGCCAGGCCTCGTGCTGTTGCATCTGCGCCCCACGCTTTGCGTAGGCGTCTGCGAACCTATTTCCTATGAAATGCTGGGGCCCTATCGAGGCTCTTTGGGCCCTCGTGGCGTGGGCACGGCTTTTACAGAAGCTTATCCCCTGCTCACCTATCCCACCGTTTTCCTGCACAAGCCGCCAGCATTCCTGCCAGACCTCTTGGTGGGTCGTGTCGGCTCTGGCGGCCCACTCAGGGCCTCTGGCGAAGCCGTCGATCACCGACTGGCAGTCGCTGAAGACCCGCACTGGAGGGACCGCTCTCCTCAGGGCCTGGAGGACCGCCATCAGCTCGCTCTTGTAGATCGACTGGTTGTGCTTCGCTCCCTCCAGTGGCCCGAACAATGCAAACTCCATCGTGTTCTCGCTGTCGAGCTTCACGACTGCCCAGCCGCCTCTTCTCAGCCCCGTACAGCAGGCTGCCATCCGTGTATATGTCCCCGTGCACTAGGCCGTCGCAGGAGCCCTCCATCTCGCACGTGGACGAGGAGGTCAGCTTCCAGAGGCCGTACTCCAGCGCTGGGTCCGCTGCGAGTCATCTTCCCCAGAGCGCTTCGGAGGTCGCCAGCTGCT